AATCCGTTCTGAAATAGGAAACTATTTAAATCGTCTTGAACACATGTGCTTGCTTAATCGTATGCCCGATTTGATCAAATTAACTATCGGTACTTGTTTCAACTAAAATCCTGACTTGCACAACCTGGAAGTGTCACTTCTGGTACAGTATATCTCTGCCTTGCTATTTTTTCGATCTGTTGACCATTCTTTTAATCAACAATGTTTAGTTCCAAAAAAAAACAAAAAAAGCATAAAACGATTTTTTTCTTCTACTGAATCAATGAATAAAAAAAAAAAAAAATCACAAGAAAAAAGTAAAGATCAAGAAGAATTATCTTCTAGTTCAGATACAGAACAAATATCAGATATAGAACAAGTATCAAATACAGAACAAGTATCAGATACAGAACAAGTATCTACCAAAAGATCTCATATTCGTAAAGACCCAAATCAAAATTGGTTTAAGATATATCCATGGTTAAAAAAAGAAGTAGTTGAAAATAAAGTTGTATTATTTTACACAATATGTAGAGAAAGAAATGGAAAGACAGTATTCGCAGTAGGTACAACAAAATATCGGTTAGAAAGTATTAAAAATCACATAAAAACAACTGAACACAAAGAATCTGAAGATCTTTCCAAACTACAACAAACAAAAATTATTACTAATTTTGCAAAGCAATTGGGTATCGATAAATTAAATATTATATCGCTTATGAGAAATGTTTATTTTTGTGCTAAAAATCATCAACCTATCAATTTGTTTCCTAATTTATGTGAATTAGTTACAACTCAAATTCATAATCATAAAGAATATATTACTTCAGATAGAGTATGTGTTCTTAAAACACCATAATATGAAAAAAATAAAACAAAAGCATCATATAGTAGTTATACGAATAACAATTCAGGAAACGGATTTTTAGCTAGTATTTGTGATATTATTGAAGAAGGTTTATTTGAAGAATTAAATACTTCTAAATACTGGAGTTTGATGATTGATGAATCTAATACTATTTCAGATGACAACTATTTAGCAATTGTAGCTAAATATTTAATAAATAATATTCCATATATGCGTTATTTTGGAATGCTTAATTTAGAAGAAACTAATGCCCTTTATATTTTTACTCAATTAAAATCATTTTTCGAATCAAAAAATTTAAATTTTAATTTTTTAATTCATTTTAGTTCAGATAGCGCATCTACTATATTAGGTAATTTATTAGAGATATGCCTTGTGCAAGATTCTGATACATATCATTTCTGCACGAATTAATCATGATTTCTTTGTATAAGATCATCATATATTTTATACTGTAAAATATTTACTATCTTTGTCTTTTTTTTTTTTTGTTATTAAGGTGGCTTACATTGCCGAAGGAATTTTATTAGAATTGCATACGGGATATACATTGA